ATTAAATATTTTTGGTTCATCAAGATTGATAATATTAAGGTTGCCTTAATGTCACATTAAAAAATAAGAAACACAATATTTATTTCTAACTCATTAATTAATTTGTCTAGGTATCTGTTTTAAATAATCTTGATAAAAGTCATCATACAGAGATATCTAAACCGTTATTGTATCGATATTTTGTTTCGAGGACATAATAATAAGGTATGAAAATGTTGACCTAAAGATAAAAGAAATGAGATTTGCTATCATAAAAAAGACTAAACATCGTTTTGAAATGATAAAACACTGTTTAACATCACTCAAACAACGTTGTTTCCATGCTAAAAAAGTAATTATAAAAATGAATGCCATCATTAAGCTGTAGATATTTGAAATTTGTATTAAGTTCTCATTTCTGAAGTCAAAAAGCTGTAAAAGCAGATAGATTATTGTGTCATTAATAAGGAAACAAAGTAATCTTGTTTATCTCGGTATTGTTTACAATTTAGATATATTGTTAGGATATATAATAATTAATAATAACAAACAGGTTCCAGGAAGTACCATAACAAAAATATTTGTTTTTTGATCAAATAAATTAGTTGTTATATTTTGCGGTGGTTAATGATTTTTTATTTTTAATTAATATTTTGTCGATTTGTGTATGAGACGTCTGAAGTAGATAAATTAACGGTTATAATTGCCATTCAAGTAAATGAATGATATACTTTAAGAGTAGATAAAATCTAGAGGAACGATGCGTATATCTCCGCAACCTTAGCGCGTGTCTAACTTACGCACAATGAATGCAAAATGCAAAAAGTGCATTCACGTTCAAGCCACCTGATTGGCTGCTACTGTTGGCGCCAATTTAAGGGTCAGTAGGAAATTAGGTCGGGTAATACCCGTTTTTCGACAGGAATTCCCTTTGAAATGCGGTGGTGGTTATTTAAGCGCCAGGCGCCCCTAGTAAATATTTTAAAAATAGGCGAAAAATAGGAAAATATTGACTAGTGCCTCACCTTTCCCTTTGGGGAAGCTGATGTAGCAGGGTATAAAAATATTCCTCCGTATTTGATGGTTCTATGTACATCAGCGACCATGGATCCAACGTATCTGGCGCCGTATGGTTTTCCTTTAGACGGATCTTTTTTGTTTTGAACGTATTCTTTAATTGCTGGTTCCCATTGGTGAAAATAACCCTCATTGATAGAATAAATTTTTCCCCTGTTTGGTATTCTCATGTTTTCATCGCTGAGTATAAATTCACCAATCGATGGGTCCAACATAAATCCGTTTACAGAGTCTCCCAATGCCAGAACCATCATGGTAGCACTTCCGTAAAGGGCATATCCGGCCGCTACAACTTTATTTCCGGGTTGTAGTATGTCTTGTTTTACGGGTTTACCAGGGGTTTCCTTTTTGAAAATGGAAAAGATTGATCCTATCGATACTAAACAGTCTATATTGGACGAACCATCCAATGGGTCGAAAGCGACCACATATTTACCATGTTGGTGTGTCTCTACCTTTAAAAAGAGCAAAGAATAGAGTAAAGTGCTAATTAATCAAATTATTTTTTGCGTTAGCAAATCAACCAAAAGATATTAGAAATATAAATAAATAAGAAATTTTGAATTAATTTGAACTAATTTCAAGACTGATAGGTACAAAGGGATTTTGAGGATGGAATGGAATTATTGTTTGCGTTGTTTCAGAGCCAAAAGGATCAAGTGGTTCTTTATTATTCTGTTTTATATTGTAATCCTTTATCTTTTCTGAAAAAAGAAATACTATAACTTCACGAAAACTTACTTCAATAATATGATCATTTTCTTCTGAAACCAAAAGACATGTTGTAAACGAAGATTTAAGCATGTTAATAAAAAGGTCGTTAGACAGGACATCTAGTTTTTTAACTTCTTCTCCTTGTACATTGGTTTCTCCTACAGTACCGAATCTGAAATATTGATTTAATTTTGCTATTTTGTTGAGAATACTTTACATCTAATCCTATTTATTTTTTTACTTGCAACATTTTACTGTAGGGATATTAGGGTTTCTTCAAAGTGCATTTTAATTAAAGTAAGAAAAGAAAGTTGCATAGATACTAATAAAAAAGTTTATTTAAGATATTGCGTTACGTACAATAATAATTCGTAATTATATGATTGGGTTATTAATGTTTATTTTTTACAAAATATTTGTGTTTATTTCTTTTTATTGTATAGCTACTTGAACTTTGATCAAATGAGAAGTAACAGTGTCGTTTATGAAAACAATATTCCTCAAAACAATAACACTTTTATGAAATTTTGTTAACTTCAAATTTGTTTTTAATGTCAGTATCTCGCTTTAAAAATATAAATATGTTCATAATTTCCATAAAGTCTTACTTGGTAATTTTTCTTTGGCGAAAGTGATGTATGTACCAGCATCAGTACATATCTTTAATTAATAGAACTTTCTTCTTTTGACAATGATTAGCTTTTTTAATAGTAATTTATTTTACTAATTGCATATCAATTACAATTAGCTTATGAAGAAAATGTGCTTATATTTATAGAGGAAAACTTGTGTTTATCACTTGGTCATAAGTAATTTTTTAATCAAATTGAAAAATACTCAAATGATTGAAGGGAATCACCTAACATTTTTTAAGTCGGGTTAAATGGTGAATAGACGTTTTCAGAAGACTACCCCCGGAAATATTTCAATTTTTGGATATTTACACCTTACAGATAATAATGCAAATTAACTAGTAATTATTTTTATGAGTTTTATTATAACTTACAGTTGTGTTATTCCGGCTTTCCTTACAGCACAGCTAACAACTTTAACAGCAGTTTGTATCGCAGTCAAAAGTTGTGTTAGATTTCCTGTAGCTTCGGGATATTTTTTTTGTTGGGCCAACACAAATCTAGTTAAAGTCATACAATTCGAATCGAATTTTTGAGTTGCCATTTTCACGGAATGTTGTTACTGAACGAACAACAAACCACTACTGCAAAATTACATAAATACACAATTGTTTTTTATTGTTTCACTCTAGTTACTGATAACCGCAAGTCTGACGATATATCTCAGTTAGTAAACTTGAAAAGATACGAGAATGAGGCGATTTGAAGTTCAATGTTCACATTGAATCCGCTTTCTACAGAATATTTTTTTAGAACAGAATTTACATATCTAAAGGCTGGTTTACATGCGTTTTATTTACGTAAATTTTAAAAATATTATTAATGAGAGATAATGTGTGCCTAATCACATAAGTGTTTGTTAACTTATTTTGTGTATTTTTCAATAAAAGAACTTTCTACATCTTTAGATCCTTATAATAATAGTGCACACTAAATGTATGCTTTTTACTTTGGAAAAATCATATTCGCAGCCTACCATTTTGAATGTGATAATGTAATTAGAATCTGTAAATGGTTTAGTTTATAATTTATTTTTTATTGTTTCACAATTGAGCCACTCAAAAGTAATGTGTTTGTGATAGCAAAGTGATTTACTGATACCAGATATGACGAAAATAGCGTTGTTTGCTAAATAGTAACATAACGTAATGATATTTTTATGAAACGTACTATTTCCATTACTTTTTGTATTGGTTCGTATTCATACAGAGTATTCGATATCGTAAACGTAATCTCTCAATCGACCTACTGTAGGTGTTTGCAATAAAATCATTTATAAAAGATTATTATGGATTTTTTGAGTAGATACTAAGGATACGTAAGGGCTTATTGGGTTTCATCCTAGGGCCTCGTAGATACAAAAGGCCCCCGGCCTTCAATGAAAATAATAGACGATATTGTGAAGAAAAAAATATCTATAATAAAAAAAAATCCGATCATAAAGTTGGCAATCTTGCGTCCATCGAACGGAACGGGGAATTCCCCGTCACTCGTTTTGTTGCATATTATACGGGGACTTCTCGCCGCTTATCGCCCGACGCAATTTGATTTTTTTTTTGGCACTTCTGTCCTTGTGGTCAGTATTCTCGTATTCCGTATACCTATATCATTAGAGACAACAGTTTTTTTGACAAAATGGCAATTGATTGAGCAGTTAGATAAGCCCCTAAGTGGTATTAGTTCAGGACATCCCAAATTCACAATCTACCCCTGCTTATTTAAAGGCAATCCTTTTGTATTAAACGCTAAAGAAGTAGTTCAATTTTGAACTTAGAATGCTAATATTTATTTTTAGTTTTTGAACCGTTATTTAAGTAAAAATGTTGGCAATAATGGTAAAAGGCATGCTTTTGTTTTATCAATAGTCAATACACAAAATGGATAGACAATAAATCAGGAATTGCTTTACCTTCAGGAACATAAAGTAATATTGATTTTGACTTGTGGGTACCTTTGTGAGTCGTTTGAATATAAATCTGCAAATAGCAATATTCCTTTTCACACAGAATTGTAATGTACATAAAATGTCTGGGACCAACTTTTTGGTGACCTGATCACTTGTTATTAACATTACAACACTTCTTATCGTGGTCATTGTTATTAATTGACCCAGCCTTGTTTATGCAATGAACAAAAAATAAATTAACTCTAAACCGATAAAATTGTTCATTCAAAGTAACTGTTAAAGAAAATAGTGAACTTTTCTTTTTCCTTTGGTCCTTCATTATGGTTTTCTGAATTTTGTGGCAGTTTTTTCTAAAATGTATTACGTATAGGTACATATTACCATAATGATAAGTAATAAGTTCTTTGGTTTGCTGTTGCTTTTCTTTTTTAGTGAAAGTATTTTAAATTTTGTTTTTTCCATTTTGTAAATTTATTATTTTTTCGACTAATTCGTAAGCCATTTGATCCTTACATCCACGAATGTATGAATGTTTGCTTGTGTGTATCGAATATCCGCTTTTTATCCATTGGGGTTACTAATTTCCGAGAACCCCACATAATTCATGCGAGGACATGAAAAAGGGTGAATAAATTGTCATGTGCTTTTGAAGCCACAGAATAAATGTGCTCGTACTTACTGTACCTTTTTATAAGAGGTTTATACTCATCAAAATATTTTAATAGAAAAACATAGATAAATGAAAATTAATAGAGAAAAATTTAGAATTTACACGTATCTAGCTTGAAGTATACTAAATAACGATTCCTTATTTCTTTTTTTTTAATTCTTGGCATCCTCTTTATTTGTTCCTATGTGATTTTGTATTCTGAGAATTTTTCTGGAAAACAATTACGTTAAGTGGTAACCTATACGAGTTTTCCCAAGTCTCCTTTGAGTTTAATATCCGAAAAGCACTTTTTGTTACAATGCCAAACGATTTGGAGTCCTGCTATCGGAAAGATGAAACGTGTCCAGCATTTCGTGTTCAAATTCACAACTTACGTTCTTACCATCTTTGAATTTTAAATAATTAAATTTCAAGGAACATATCTCTCACTTCTTTTTCTTCTTTATTACCTAAAGAAGAAATTCACATTTCTAACCATACAACTTCAAGATCTTTCAACTTTTAAAAATTACTAAAACACCAATGTTTACAATTAAAATAATTTAATTTAGCGTCATCATCATCATAAGGTCGTCAGTCCTAAGACTGGTTGGACACGCACTTCCACTTCCTCTGAACTATCTTGAGATAATCTTCGCATTTCCCTAAAATTAGAACAACCCATATCCTTAACTATTTGCAAACAGTAATCTAACCTAGGTCTACCTTTACCCCTTCTAACTTCCCTTTCTGCCTTTAATATGTCTCTGGCTAGACCTTCATGGCTGAGAAGGTGTCCTAGTAATCTATCTCGCCTATTTCTTATCGACTTACACAGAGTCCTCCGTTCTCCTATTTTTTTTAATACCTCTTCATTTCTAACCTTCTCTATCCACGGAATCCTCATTATTCGACTGTAACACTACATTTTGAACGCTTCTAACCTCTTCTTTTCCGCAGCGCCACCGTCCATGTTCCGCACCCGTACAGCGCCGCGCTACAAACATACACCTTTAACAACCTTTTTCGAATTTCTAAATTAACCGTTTTGACTTCTTTTTATTGAAAGCGAAACGACCCTGCGCTATCCTCTGCTGACTTATCTGACTTCCTAAATACCTAAAATCAGCCACTTCTTCTAATTTTTCGTCTCCTATCTTTATATTCGCTCTTTCCCTACTTTTTCATCCCTTGCGTACCAGTATTTTAGTTTTACTTTTATTTATTTTCATACAGTACTGATCTGTCAGTACCGCTTCCATTTTATTTAAAGCTATCTCTAAGTCCTCCTTGCTAGATGCTAATACTGCTATATCNCATCAAAATATTTTAATAGAAAAACATAGATAAATGAAAATTAATAGAGAAAAATTTAGAATTTACACGTATCTAGCTTGAAGTATACTAAATAACGATTCCTTATTTCTTTTTTTTTAATTCTTGGCATCCTCTTTATTTGTTCCTATGTGATTTTGTATTCTGAGAATTTTTCTGGAAAACAATTACGTTAAGTGGTAACCTATACGAGTTTTCCCAAGTCTCCTTTGAGTTTAATATCCGAAAAGCACTTTTTGTTACAATGCCAAACGATTTGGAGTCCTGCTATCGGAAAGATGAAACGTGTCCAGCATTTCGTGTTCAAATTCACAACTTACGTTCTTACCATCTTTGAATTTTAAATAATTAAATTTCAAGGAACATATCTCTCACTTCTTTTTCTTCTTTATTACCTAAAGAAGAAATTCACATTTCTAACCATACAACTTCAAGATCTTTCAACTTTTAAAAATTACTAAAACACCAATGTTTACAATTAAAATAATTTAATTTAGCGTCATCATCATCATAAGGTCGTCAGTCCTAAGACTGGTTGGACACGCACTTCCACTTCCTCTGAACTATCTTGAGATAATCTTCGCATTTCCCTAAAATTAGAACAACCCATATCCTTAACTATTTGCAAACAGTAATCTAACCTAGGTCTACCTTTACCCCTTCTAACTTCCCTTTCTGCCTTTAATATGTCTCTGGCTAGACCTTCATGGCTGAGAAGGTGTCCTAGTAATCTATCTCGCCTATTTCTTATCGACTTACACAGAGTCCTCCGTTCTCCTATTTTTTTTAATACCTCTTCATTTCTAACCTTCTCTATCCACGGAATCCTCATTATTCGACTGTAACACTACATTTTGAACGCTTCTAACCTCTTCTTTTCCGCAGCGCCACCGTCCATGTTCCGCACCCGTACAGCGCCGCGCTACAAACATACACCTTTAACAACCTTTTTCGAATTTCTAAATTAACCGTTTTGACTTCTTTTTATTGAAAGCGAAACGACCCTGCGCTATCCTCTGCTGACTTATCTGACTTCCTAAATACCTAAAATCAGCCACTTCTTCTAATTTTTCGTCTCCTATCTTTATATTCGCTCTTTCCCTACTTTTTCATCCCTTGCGTACCAGTATTTTAGTTTTACTTTTATTTATTTTCATACAATACTATTTTGTCATTACCGCTTCCATTTTATTTAAAGTTATCGCTAACTCCTTGCTAGATGCTAATACTGCTATATATCATCTGCAAATCTAAGCATACTAATCTTTTGCCCTGCCTGACTCCCTAGCGTTTCGGGATAATTTACAGTAACTTTTTAACACAGAAGGTGCTTTACCTCCCGAACAAAATCTGTTGTACACATAACATTAGTTTCCGGGATTGACCGGGGTGTTTGATGCTTCCACCTCGTCACTTTAGATTCCCGAAAGGAGAAAGTGGAGCGGCAATTGAACCCGGAAGTTGGCCGAAATTTCCTTCAACCGAATTATAGCAACCCTCAGCCTGATTACGTTTATCGCAGATATACTTACCACGGCTTGAGTGGCGTGTTTAACCGTTACAACCAAACAGTCACGGCCCATTTTATCAAGATGGATCGTTGTCTTGTTTATTAAATTACCCAAATTCAAACTAAAATGTTATCAAAGACAACATACAAACAAACAACAGGGGTAGATTTATTTGAAATACATTCAAGATTGTGAATTGAACAAATTAAAGAATTTTTCCCCAACCCTTGTTCATCAATCTATATCCAGGCTA